GTCTGGCTCGAGAGCAGGTGAGATTCCAATAACAAAGTTGATTGACGAGGTTGAACACGATGCCATAAGGGCAGCGTGTCTACTTGCTTATATACTTGACAGGAGGATTGATTGTACTGCTCATATCAAGTATCGTCAGTGACTTGATACTCGGTCCAATCGAGCGTTGTCGACGTGACCTCAATACTCGGTCCTCGGTGTCCTATTGATCGTTGTCGATGTGGGTCCTCTGCAGGTGGGTCGGTATATGGGTCCGTGATGATCGTTTGTGTACGAGATCTACGTTGTATCCACTGCAGTCCTTTTCGTACAATCTTGGTTCATATAACAGATATTGCGAGTGTTGATTATACTGGGTATCACTGACGCGGCTTCACAGCTCGGTCAATCGATACTGCAGTTCCTTGGCTGCTCTCATCTTTGTTGCGTAGTCCTGTTTGTTCAGTGTTGTTTTGCGAGTTGTTCATGGATCGTAACACAGGTTTCTGATTTGCTCAAGAGTCTAGTCATCTCCAACCAACTTCTGACCAACCTTAGGAATAAACAGAGAATATGGGTCCTCTTTCCTATCTTGTAACCACCAGAACTGAAAGAACGCCATCATGACGTGCCAGTGGGTATACTCAGAATTCAGAAGAGACCTCTTCAACTTCACAAAGTGTGTTTTAGCTAACTCAGCAATGCTGGCCATTGTGGCATGCAAAGTGGTGATGCTGGACTTGATCTGATGCTGCTCATCCTTGAGTTGATCGTGCTGGGTGTTGCAAGTAATCCTAGAGTTGGCAGCTCTCTTTCGAGCTTGTCGAACAAGTGCTACAACGTTCTGTGAAGGTTGAGCAACACTTGACTCCTCACTCTCAATTTCATCCAACCAGATGCCAAGGATGCGTAGATACACTTAATAGTGACGCTCAAATCTACCTAGTAGAGGTTCCCCTTTATGGAGTCGACCCAACAGAGACGATTCTTGTTGTGACAACCTCCTAGAGTACATCTCCAAGCTTGGGAAAGTGGAGAAAGTCTGCCATGAGCAGCTTGGATGTCTGCTGTGGTGAAGGGTGCTACTATCAACTGCTGCTGAGTTGTACTAGCACAAGGTTGACCTTCGATGCGATGACGCAGACCATTCTGAGAACGTCCTGGCTGCTGTTGTAGCTGTGTGGATTTCTCAGGAAGCCTCTCAGGCTCAAGATGTAGGTCAAAATTGACGTAGATATCCTTCCTTGCACCCCTGCCTGCATCTCTCTCCTTCTTCTTGTGCTGAAGGATGATAAGAAAGCGTTGCCATGACTCATCATTGTCTTCAATGATCGACTCTGGCAAGTAGTGAACTTTGGTTTGTCCCTGCAAGTACACTGACACGTGAACAGAAGTGTACTTAGAGCTGAGTGATGACTCCGATGAGCTCCTGCTAGAGATTTTGATGGCGGTGAAGGACTTGGTCTGTTGTACAGTGCGGCAATGTCCTCTAGAAAGCTCCTTCTGCAATTCCTCGTCTTGTGGGTAGGGTGGCACCACTATAAACAGCTGGACGCCCTCATTGCCCCCCCCCCCCTGGCTGTCACTGTGTGGTTCTGATACACTCCAGCACTACCATAGGGTCACCCAAGAATTACTTTCACTCAAAAGGTATGGATCAACTAGCCTTAGGGTCCACTTGTTCGCCAGCGGCCCGTTGCAGTGTTTGCCAGCGGTCCACTGCACTGATTGTCCAGTTCATTCGGTTAGTGCAGTTTGCCTCCCCATCCTACCACTGCTATTCCTTTCCACTATATAGTCCTGATCGATCCTTGCCATAGTTCCACAGATCAATCAAATCTTATCAACATTTCCACACCACTATATGTCAGTGGAGACCCATACTTTGCCTATATCTACACCAGGTTGACGTTCTCAAAAATGAGACCGAAGGGCTCCCCAATTTTCAACAGCAGCATACATTCATTCAAGCAAATACATCACATCATGAGAGCACATTGATTGGTTGCCCCTATGGGTGGGATGGCTATAGTACTTACTTTATATTTTCTAAGAAACTGGGGGGTCAGCAACTTTTGTTCCTTGTAATATACCAACTTCTCGCAATGATGAACACACCCTTACAGCCATTTCGAATCCTTGACCTGCTGAAGGAGCTGCGACTGATGGTGTATAACCAGCTCACCACTGTTACTACCACACGTACGAGCGACGCGTACAAGTTGATTATGATCACCAAGAGCAAGCTCGGTATCACATTGCTTCCGACATGTCGAGACGTCTATGCTGAGGCGAAAATTCTTCGCCGCAGCATTGCGACACTGAAAGACAGGCCGCTACGGTTTGTCGTCAATTGATCACTTTGGGAGATTCGTTGTTGTTGTGTGTCCTGCTTCTATGCGCTACGGAAGACATACACGTCTGCACACCTACCCCCTTCGATTGCAGGCGCGAAGGACCCCTGGCTCAAGAAGGCGGCTTGTTCAGGAACCACGAAGTGAACACACATGTAGATATTCATAATCTTCTCGACTGCACTGTGTCAATTCGCTAGCACCGAACAATTGAGATAGCCGTCAAATTCGAGGCCGAACTACCAAGGGCTGCACTTGATGAGTATCGGGGGAAATGCGAAAGACTTTCCATCTTTTTAGGTGGCGCGCAGACTCATCATAAGGGCGAAACGGCCATGGGGCTGAACGTCATCTTGCGTCCAAGACCCTTGTCGGACCTTGCCAGACAGCAACCGGAGGGTGTGTCCTGCTTTTCTGGTTGCTATTTCACTCTCACTGAAAATCTGAATTATTGGTGGGGCGACTGGCTTGACGAGGCAGAGTGCAACGAGAGCTGGGTCGATGGAGCGGATCTCTGAGACGGCGTACGTACATCTAAACATTGGGCAGGGCATCAGCAAAACTCACAACTCGTAATCGTTTTCGAACAGTAACCTACCTCTCGCCTATTTTTACACTGAAGGGCTTGAAATAATCCCCTCATCATGCACATGCGGAAGTTGCTAAATAGGTACGTATCAGAAGTCCTCCAGTGCCGGCGGATGGTCCAACAGCAGGTGGCGGCTCGACTTCTTTGTTCTAATGTCTCGTATATCTACCTTGCGACTCGATTGTTCCTTCACAGGATCGGCATCAACAGAGCGAGCTTCTCTCGGCCCGGTCGCCCCAACCTCTATATGCATCAGAGACAAGGCTTGCACTGACACTCTGCCCAGGTGCATCTGAACTATTCTTGAGTAACTGAGAGCGTTGGATGTTGTATCAAAAGCAGGCCTGAGGCACCGACCGAGGCGACGAGGGACTTCCTATCTCGATAGGCACGCAGACACGAGGAGAGCAGGGTACCTGAAGGTGGTGTGTTGACCTCGTGGGCATGTAGGTATTGATTGCTCCTGCCTTGACCGGTGTGGACTGAGAGTCCAGGCGTATGTGACCAGACAATAGGCTTCGAGAAGCGTCCTGCCGCACGGTGATTGAGTGCTATCATTTCCGATTGGTGCTCAGAGGGAGTGATAGCAGTCAGATGCGGAGGGACAACTTGTGATGAGGTCTTCATGCGTGAGTAGAAGGTGTGATATTGAGGTCGAGTCATGAGATCCCACGACAATGGTTCTGGCGCTTCTTCTTTGAGGCCAATGGAGGGAAAACGTTGGGTTGAGCAGCGTTCTCCACTTCAAAGTAAGTCTGGGCTGTCAAGACTCCTTGGACGTGCAGCGACTCGTCACCTATACGTTTTGTACCGCGGCGCAGTAATCGCACGACTTCCGTTCAGGTTCATCGTGAGGCGTTGCAAACAGCTATCGCATGGTAGTAGAGCACGAAATTTGGTGTAGGTCATTGCAGACCATCTGAAGCTCTGTAACCCACAGCGTGTTGTTGATAAAAATAGCCGTTGACGGTTTTGAAAGTTATCGTCATTAAGTGTTGGCGTAGTAAAGACGTGCGGAGGCGGAGTGCTTGCAGCCGCCATGCATGCAGATGTGGTTGGACCTATTTTGAGACCGCGCAACTTTTCTCGAGCCTAACAACTCATTCATGATTCCTTGCTCACCATTAGATATTGTGGATCGAAAGTGGCAAGCCGATGCTCTCTACAGCCGAGTTTCTCAGGCGAACACGGGCAGGAGAGGACGTTCACGGTCGTCAGCTAGGTACTTGTTACCGACAGCGGTCTGAGTCTGAGAGCGTCACAAATGTAGATCTTGGCCTGCAGATGGTGCATAGCGGCATTACTCCGAACGTTGCTCGCAGTCCGAACGATGAGGGGAAGTATTGACGGAGCGGCTGGTGATAATGCGCCAGGTGCGATACGCGCCGCACAGCTGCATTTAGTTGCAAGGTAGGCACTGACCGTCGCTGCATGCTTGTCACGTCCTGAAAGCAATTGAAGAAATCGTGAGGCAGTAATCCAGCAGCTGCCAACAGCTTGGCTGTTCAATTGCGGCGATTCGAGTAAACTCGTCTTTGAGGGAGTAGAGCAATTTCGTTATCTGATCTACATCACTGGGGCAAAGAAGGATGGATGGACGTGCTACAGAATTAAAGATCATCCTGTTTCATGTCAAGTGCAGCCTCATCTTTAAGGATTTGTACTAATGCGGCAAGGCATAGGCACTGACTTTACTTAATGTAAAAGTCATACGACCGCATTAAAGCGGAGGACGTGGAAAGTCCAATCACTTTCTTCGACCTCGGCAATGATAGGCGCAGTGAGTAATTTGTGAAGACTGAATGCGTGGGCGTTCTTCGGACTATCCAATCGACTCTATTAGGCAATTTTCTTGTAGTCAACCAAGAACAAGGCTGAAGATCTCGCCTCCGAGATTTCGGTCGATGGACGTGATGAACCCTGATATCCTTCGGATCGATCAATCGATCAATCGAACTCATCGTCAAATTCTCCAGACGATGCAGTTGGAATTGAATCTGGTACGAAGTTCCAACACACTCGTCACCACGACGAGCAGATATGTACAAACTTGGCTGCCTGCATGCGCACGATTCGCTGTGATCTGCAGAGACGCGACTCGAACAGGCCTCTGGCGTCTATGAAACGCTCGATGTTGGCCAGTCTCCACCATACCAGGATCTGAATGATCCTTCACACACGGACGGTCAGCGCTGGCTAGGCCATGTCAATCAGCCGAAGGCCAACACGAACTTCGCATGGATCTATACATGCAACAACGTGGCGGGCGGTCAGACTGCGCGGAATGAAAGCAGAAGAATTTCCACGAAGAGCGCATTACCAATGCATGGTGGCGTTCGTAATTGATTTTTTGTGGTTGACATAAGCGCCCCGTGCTGCGCCGTTGCAGTCACACCGCCAATGGCTTTCTTGCATGATCCTGAAGGAGCTGGCGCGGTTTCATTGTCTGGCGTATGCGGGGATCTTGTATGCAGTCAGGTACGTTGACGATTGCATGCTGACCAGGGTTCTTGAAAGAAACAGTCGTGCAGATGATGAGGTGCGTTGAGGACGACGGAGGAAAGCAACGATCGCAATCCTTGCGGCAAAGCCGACGTTTTAGAATTGGGATTCATGCGTCACTGCTGTTGCTGTTGTTGAATTCGAGAGCGGCTGCTATGTGGTTTTTGTATGTGAAGAACGCTGCTGTTCACCTCGCTAACAGATCACGGAGTCTCCGTTGGGATCACATCACACTAAGATCACGCGATCGAAACGTAAAGACCACATGTTCGCTCGTAACCAGCTACACTGTCGCAGGCCTGTCCCTGATCGCCAAGTCCTTCTCATTGTGCAGCTGCAGCCTACAACTTTCGCTAATCCTGCATAGGTATGGCGGCTAACAGAGCCTGTCATGTCGCTTGATAGCCGCGACGAGATCTTCTGACCAATGGATCGTGCCTCAGGAACTTCAGTTGTTGACGATTCGTGTAACACACCGCGTGTTGTGGGGCATGACTTTAGGAAGTTGAGGTTGGGGAAGGTGCGACTCGACCTTGGTTGAGAGTAAGCACGCTACTTCGTACTGAACCACAGAATGCTGCCGCGGCATAGTGCAGATGCCCGCCGACAGTTACTGTTGTCGCTAACATCACTTTACCGAGCCGCGCGATGTATCTCGACGAAGGCGCAGATGTGCGACAGCTGAGCAGACCTTTTCTAGCATTGTTGTACCGACATTAGCTTCACTTGGAGTCATGAGAGCAGAATGTGTTGTGGTGAAAGACTTTATTAGAAAGCTAATGCAACGCCCGTATACCTCCAGTGTCCCAGGATACACATCACTCGTAGAATCACAGGCTTCCCCAAGGCCGTCACTAAAGACTCCAAATAACCGAAATCATGCAGAAGGCATAAGCTACAGCAAAGAGCGCACAATGTACGCTGGCCGCGCTACTCGCTGCTTCTTCAGCTTCTCCTTCTCATAGTGTTGCCTCAGCTTCTCTCGAAGCCGCCTAACCAGCTTCTTTTCCTTTGGCCCAAGGATGACCTTGAGCTCTGGGAGTGTCATCTTCTTATTCTTTCCAGCACGACCGCCACGCTGGAGATGTGTCCAGTAGTGGTCGCGCAAGTTGTCGCCGCGCGAGAACAGTGTTTTGCATTCGGGTACCCTGCAACCGAACTCCCTCGCACCCGAGTGCTTGGACTTGACATGCCGGGAAAGATGCTCAGGGCGAAAGAAGGGGGTGCCACACTGTGGTACATCACACACATAGCGTCGTGTTTCTGATTGTTGAATGTTGTTGACTGAAACAGACCATTTGTCGATGTGCGGACGGGGTGATCTGGTCTTTGGCTTGGCCTTTGACGCAGAAGCTTTAGCCTGACTGTGGTTCGATGCCTCTTTGTCCCAGTCGGACTCCTCATCAGACGAGTCCTCGTCCTCATTGCTTTCCTCACCAAAAGGTGAGCCTGCATTACTGGCAGCAGGTCCTGTCTGAAAAGCTTCCGGTGCTGGGAACTGACTTGGTGCAGCATACGTGACAGGTGGAAGAGCACCGTTGCTGGCATGTGCATGGCTGGACGCCATGTTGGGGGGAGCATAGCCATCATATGGGCTGGGAATCCAAGGTTGCGCCACAAACGGCTGGGTGCTCCGGATATCACTCTCGGGGTAGTTGCGTTCCCAATTTTCACCACCGTTCGCCCAGTTAGGGTGGCTTGTGGAGTAAGATCGAAGTGGTTGCGGTTGCTCTAGTAGCTGATACCCTGGAATTTGTAGCTGCTCAGAGTAGGGTGGCGAATAGAAGCCATTAGATGGTGGTGTTGCGATGCCCTGAGAAGGGCTCAAAGACATCCTTGACGACTCCGGGCTCGCGATCCCAGGCATGTCCATAAGCCATAGATCGAGCGAGCTTTCCGCTACTCTGGATACCGGGAGATTCAAAATCTCGTGAGGCACAGTGTTGAAGTACGAGCTTTCGTCGAATGAGTGCTGGCGAGAGTCTGGTGTAGTCGAGCCATTTGACGCAAAGCGGAACGGCACATGGGAAACTGGCAGATCCATCATGTTGGGATAGGAACTAGAGATATAAGGAGCAGAATTTGGCTGCTCCATTGCGTAGACGGGAGAACTTTCGGACCGATCAGCTGTGCCATGAACGTCTAGGCTAGATGTACCTACTAAGGCGTCCCGTATATGGTAGAGTTGAATATATGTGATGAAGGGTTGTTCAGAGCAAGAGTCTATACTGACGGGCTCAGTGATGGTGTGGATTGTATCTCTGGACGGTGGGAAAGGCGAGATATTATATTAAGATTAGCACTGAATACAGATTCGCACCTCAATGGTCCTGGTTGGGGCCAAAGTGTGAGAGACTGCTCCAGCCGTCGATCGGTAAACACAACATTACAGATGTGAGTATCCAGACATTCGGTACCTGACTACTCTGCACTGGAGTTGGCATACTGCACGTACACAGCCTGTCCATGAAGTTGTTGGCTCAGGATGAGACAATGAACTGAGCGGGACGAGCTTGCAAGGGTATCTCATGTGCTCTAGTACGGCGCAGTTCGCGCCAGTGATTGCCTCAAGGCTGAGACCAGCATTGTTCGACAATGCGGAAATAGCGATTATGCTGCTCAATGTGATGCTCAGCGATTCGACAACATGTGATCAGCCAGCTTGATCAGAACCACAGCTATGTTCTCATTAGCATAATTCATGCTTGATCATGTTCATCGCTACGCACGACACATGAAGGAAGTGGGTCTGTTGGTCACCTCCACAAGAAAAAGCCAAGCCATGTTCTTACTGGCTGCGAGGGACGCCTCCAACATCTTCGTGCTTGGGGAAGTCATTGATGGCTGCCCCGAATTTTGCAGAATCTGCAATCAACGTTGACAGACAAGCTTGAGGGCACTAGCGTACCTTGAAGGAGCTAAAGGGACATGGATTGTATACATGCTAAGGTCGGCAACGCGTTTGTGCTCCGCGGGGACCAATATAGCAGCATCGAGGTTAGCAGCTGCGGTGCAGCCGCAGCCCTGCAGGGGCTAGATGACAAATCGAGGTTGGCATCTCCTCAAGACCGTGCGTGTACAGTTCCTTTGTTGTTGCTGCGGTCACACCGTTTCAACGACATACGGTCTTGCCACAACCAACGGCTAGGGGAGGCTCGAACAAAAGCGTTGGGAGTCGCGTTCGTACAGCCAGCAACTTATACCAACGGTCCTTGAACATTGATCTTGCTCTTCGCTTTCATTGTTCGTCCATGTCATCTTGCGTCATGAGCGCCTTCGATTCATTCCTTCGGGCGCCATGGTTTGAGGAGTACTGCGCAGTACCATAAGTCTTCAGCTCGGCTTGAGAGGATCGAGGCGCAAGCGTGAGGCCATAGTAGTGCCCGTACTGGTGTAATGAGTTGACCTGCGACAGATCACCATCTTCCCCTTCCCCGTCCATGCCAGTTGCCATCTGGTCCTCCAGCACCGCCAGCGCCTCCTCTTCCTCTACCATAGCCAGCTTCACGCTCTGGTGGTGCTTCGCCTCGTCTCCACTCGCCTGATGGGACACCTCCGCTGGGTCTCCTGTCATCGTATCTTCCTCCTCTTCCACCACGTCCGAAACCAAAGTCACCGCGTCCGCCGTACGCGCCTGGTGGTCCTCTTCCTGGCCCAGAGGTTGGTGGCGGTGCTGCTGGAACGCTACCATCAGGCAACGGTGGAAGGATCGCGCATGTGACGTAGTCTCCTATCAGAAACTTGGCGTCGCTTAAGGTTTTGTCAGGGTCGCCATTCAGTTGCTTCAGTGCCTCTGCTACCGTTGCTCCATTACCATCGCCCAATTCGCTATCCTCATTTGCTGTACGTGCGCCTACTATGACAGATCCAATATCTCGGGAGATATAACGGCCCTGTGCGCCAGGCCGGCTCGAGCCTTGTATGTCAGGGTAGACTAGACGAAAGGCAATTCGTGTGCCAGCATATGGCTGTGGTAACAGGTTGGGCATGGCACCCAGGAAGAGACCACATAACTCACGCAAAGTGCAGCTCTGCCATGTGTAGATTTGAAGGTGAGTGGGGAGGCGTGGAAGTGTTGGATCGAATTCGTCAAGTCTGTAGCTGCACGTCAATACAATGCGTTCTTTTGGCACTAATGAATTGCGCACCTGTGGTAGGACCCTTGTTTATAGAACAGTCTCAGCAAGAAGGGCGTCGTAGCTTCTCGGTCGATATGAGCAGCCATATTGATGTGATTGGTGGTTGACGTGTGATGAGTGAATGAAAGCTGGGGAAGGCGCGTCAAGCTGGAGCTCCACTAGCGTGGTCTTGGCGCGTCATACTCAAATTGCGGATTGAGGATTTCCTTACACTTTACACAAGCAATACTCACCGCCAATATGGACTTTGCGAAGCTGATGTCAGCGCAAATAAAAAAAGGGAAAGAGAGTGCTTCGTCTGCTCCTTCGAGCGAAAAGAAGTACCTCAAGCGCAGCGAAATTGAGGCTCAAAGACAAGCCGCTTATTGCGCAGAACAAGAGGCAGAAGAGAAGGCGCGTCAAGAAAGATTGCAAAAGAAACGAAAAGCAGACGAAGAGGAGGCAGAGAGAGAAGCTGAAAGGCAAGAGAAGCGCAGACGGCTTGCTGAAGAATCCAGGCGCATAAGGGAGGAAGAAGAGGAGGCGGAAGAGAGGAAGAGGAGGAAAAGGCTAGGACTACCTGATCTGCCACCGAAGCAGAAAGATGACGACGAAGGCACACCGGTGCCCGAGGAGGAGAACATATCCGAAGAGGAGCTAATCGAGAAACTACGGACCCTGAACGAACCTGTGCGACTATTTGGCGAGACACACAAGCAACGTCTGAAGCGGTACAAGAAGCGCATAGGCGCAGATAGCTTGGCAGCGACCATGACAGACGGTCCAATACCCACAACCCTGCAACTTGTGCCAGAGAAGGACATGAAAGTCGAGCTACAAATACCGAAGGACACCGAAGGGCGAAAGTTCCTATTCAGACAGCTGGCTAGCTACTTCACAATGGTGCTCAAGGAATGGGACATAACACTGGCAATGCGAGATGCAGACGTCAAGGAGAGCTACGCGGGCAAGCAAGCATACGCTGCTATGGTGCAAGCACGAGAGAACATGCGGCCCCTATTCAAGAAGCTGGAAGAGTTTAATCTTCCGGATAGCATTCTCCAGCCTGTCGTGGAAATCGTACACGCGGCGCAAGAGCGACAATATGTCGATGCGAACGACGGCTACCTCAGACTCAGTATTGGCAATGCTGCGTGGCCCATCGGTGTTACCATGGTTGGTATCCACGAGCGAAGTGCACGAGAGAAGCTACACGAGAACGAAAACTCTGCACATATCTTGAGTGATGAGAGTACAAGGAAGTACCTACAGAGCATCAAGAGGTGTTTGAGCTTTGCGCAGACCAGGTGGCCACCAACGGACCAAATGCAGCTCATGGGCTAAGCCACAAGGTGAAGCAAGGTTGGGACGGAAGGAGGTCAAGAGCCATTTTTCGCATGCCGAGGAGACGATAGCGCATCTAATCCCACAGCATTTCTTGATGTACACCATGGCTTCTACGTATCAAACCCTCACAGCTGAACCAACACACATGCACACACATTCTTACCCACCCAATTGTTTTCGCCGCGACCGGTATTGCCTCACATTTTGGCCTGCTGAAAACGTAGTTATTGATTGATTGATTGGTTTAACGTCCTATGTGAGTCTGAGACTATGGAAGACGAGAAGAGCAGTAGCTCCTCTGGTAGTGCAAAGTTTTAGTTACAAGAGGTTGAGTTCAACGAAGGTACAAGGGATGGTGGGGCTCAGGCCCTTGTGTCCGTCTTACCTCGCCCTTCATTGCCGCCAGGCTTCACCGTGAAGCGCAAATTATGCAGAATTTGGCACGAGCGACTCGCTGCTGCCAACTTCTACAGCCTCCAAGACTTCAACCCACCTTGTATGGCCCATCTCAATCATGACAGATTGTACTAAGACATGTCGCAGCCGGAGGTTTTCGCGAGCAAATTCGAGTGTTGGGGCGTTGCAGCGGACGGGGGATTTGACGAGGTTAAAGTGCAGCAACGTGCAAAAGGAACTAAGGGCCGGCGACAAGGAGGTTGATAGCAAGGCAAGCCGGGAAAAGACTTTTGGAGAAGACATTCAGTGGCAAGTGGGGTGGACCACGTAGACGCGAGGTCGCAGGGCACACTGGTGGCGCTACAAGCTAGCGGGTAAGGAGCTGTTCTTCGAGCACGTTGCAACAATTCTTCCCCCCACTCTAGTACATCAATGATTGTTCCTCCGTATCGCGTGGAAACCGATACTAGAGACTCTGCTTCGTGTTCACCTCGCAGGCAATACCCAACGCTCATATTCTTTTCGTGCACGGCTGACCTGCTATGGCGGGCTTGTTTGACGCTAACTGCCTCGTCGTAGTCCTAACAGAAGCCTGATGGCGCTGGAGTCTGCATGCAGGCCAAAGCCAAAGCCAGGTTGTATGACCGCACAGCTACTACGTACTGTATCGCTGCAAAGACTGTCGCTAAAATACCGAACAGGATGGTCACTATGAGAACTCCGAAGATTCCTATCCATAATGTGACGAGACTTCGTTTGTCACGCAGCATCTGTCCAGTGGTTTCGGGAGGGCCATTCAGAAGCCTCAACAGTTGCTCCAAGTTCCTCCTCCAGTAGACGAACCCGTTAAGGTTGTTCAGCACGGGGGCTTCATCGTACGGAGCTAAGCCGTTGAAATGGAGTCTTTGATCTTTTAGAAACTTGATGGTCTCCAGGTCGCTCACGGGAAAGAGCAGGTCGAGCGTATAGATGGCTTCCTCTAGCATCTGACGTTTCAGCATTTTCGTTTCACGGTCCTTGTGATGGTTGATCAGACGTAGCTTCTGGCCATATATCGATAGGCTCCGATCCCCAGCAGGCCCTTCCAGCTTCAGGTGCTCTACCAAACTGTCTGTCCATCGGATTTGCACGCCGCGCTTTCTCATCAGCTTCACAGCTGTGAAGGAGATGTTCAGGGACAGGTCATCATCTATCGCAGCAATAGCCTTCCGTTCAAACTGTTCAGCAACTACTTCTGAAAGCGATCGATTGTTCGACCATTCGATACAACTATCCTTGGGGTTCGAGGGACCTATCGATGTTACGCGCGAGCAGATATTGACTCCAAGCCAAAGGCGAGCTGCGAGCTCAATGGAACGAACAACAGTATCTCGAGGAGCGCCGGGATACCTGCTGTCTACAACGATGTCGATGAGCGTTGTCTTGGCCGTATCTTGATGCTCCCTTATCTGGGTGACCGTTGTGAGGAAGTCGCCTAAAAACTGGTCCGCGAAACTTGCTTTGTGGTGTGCAAGGCTCCTGAGGGTCTCATCGATAATCCGCAGTAGGTCTGCATAATCGTCTTCAATCAAATCATGTTCCACAAGTCGAAGGTCCGGCCAGAACGTATTGACGATATCGCATTTCCTCGGTTTTGATGCGCTACTCAGCTTCCCGTCGAACAAAGGCTCGCTCATAGTCAACGATTCAGGCTACTCTGCAATTCTGAAGTGAAGGTCCAGGGTAGAGCGACAGCTGAGCGGACCATACGATGTATAACCAGGGCTCCGATCCCAGCTGAAGAGTAAAAAATCCCTTGGAATCTCTCGACCCCGCTCCTACCCATGTAAACTCACTCTACCTCAGCTGCGTATCCTAAGCGATCGCCAAGTCCTAGCTGAAGCGAGGGCTTTCGGAGCTGATGAGAACACCACAACCACCCCACAATCTCCGTCCCTTGACAACCGTGTGCAACAAAATGGCAAATGTACAAATCGGAACGCTTGGCAAGTAAACTTTTACTGCTCTGATATTATCTCGTTAACGGGAACCCAGCAAATCCGAACGCAAACCAAGCACTGCAAGACGCTCTGAGACCGATTAGGTTGATATTACCAACAGACGCAAAGAAGCTCCAGTACGACAGCTCTTGCTAGGCCTGTATCATTGCATTCGTCTAACTTACCTCATACCTGGGACTGTTTTCATATTCCGTCACTATCAGAAGGTATCGCTAACTTAAGCCTATAGCAGGGTTCAGCATTATCATATTGGATTATTACGAGAGTTGCCACCACCAGTGATCATCCAGGCGAGATGGAACTCAGCAGTACTGCGGAACCTCGAAAATAGTCTGCGACAGGCCACCAGACCCTTGGTCCGACTCGCTGATAGGGAGGTGATAACAGAGCCTGTACTTTGTCTGGCTGGCCGAAGCCATGCACTCGATGCATTAGCAGGTCGGTTATTCGGGAATGCTGAAGTACACCTGAGACCGACGGTCTGGATTCATTGCGGAAGCAAGACGTGTCGTGAACACGTTCGTCGGACGCTAGACAATCTGAACTTTCTCCGCGATTTTCTAGGGCTGCTTGGGCCAGAGTCCCTTTTCCTCTCACTGAACGCCCCGTATCCAGCTTCAGGACTGAGTCGGCCACTGTTACCGCTGACAAGTGCTGCTATCGATGCTATGTCGCTTGCTATCCAGTCACCCCTGACGGCGGACACCACTGTTTGTGGCGCCAAGGTCAAATGTACTGTCCACACCGATCTGGAAAAGACTACGTGCTACAGCACTGTTGGGGGTCTCATCGTAGTCAATGGTGAACTACTCGCTTTGACCACGGCGCATGCTTTCATAAGCAAGATCCGCCAGAGCAGTGCAGAAACCGACTCTGCTGATCCGCGGGCCCGGAACGAGTCAATTGCAGACAACGAGACCGGACCTGAGACGATATCGCAGTTAGAGAGAGACTTTGGTATGGTGAAAGACCTTGGAAAAGGGTTTGATCTAGAGCAGCAAGGTAAGTTGGCGCCCAGCTGCGCATGTATTGTTCTCTAATCGATGTTACACCAGAACGTTCGAACTTGGGAGACATCCCATGGGACGATTCGGAAGACTCCAGCATGCGATGGCTTGAAATACGTCGGCCTGAAGTCTTCGCTTATCTCGGTTCAGGTACTGCCACTGGTGCATGGAACTCTCTTTTGGCTGCACCGGAAACGTCAGACTTTGCTCTGCTTCGTGGTTACTCGCCTTACGGTAAGAGGCTGAACAGATACCGTGATGCAGTACAAGACCAGTGGATAGAGATCACAAGTCATGTCTTGACAAGCGACCTTCGCGCCGGAAGGTCCACATAGTCGCAAATGGTGATGGCGCGCCATTGACTGGCTACTTGCTGGATGGCGACGGTTCGGTTGTTCTCAGAGGAGTGATCATGCGCACCAAGATGATCCAAATATCTTTCACAGCGCGTAGGTATCCCTGTAACGAGTGAACGACACTCCTAATCTTGTACAGGTCGGGGCATTTCCGGTGCCTGGGTGGTCCGTGAAGGACAGCTACTCGGTGCTGTGTATGCCGCGTATCCTAACAGCCCGTATCTTCATATGATCCCGGTTGAGACGATCTTCAAAGATATTGGAGACTTCCTCCAGGTTTCTAGTATTAGAGTGGCTACTGTTGCAGACGTACCACCGCCTGTAGATAGAGATCTTGTCATCCAACGCCACCCAGGTGTGATCACCGTAGAATCAGGTCTGCGGTCAGGCTCCGCTCTACCTACAGTGTCAGTCGGAAGACCACTAGCGCAAATTCCGCCCACCGCGGGGACTTTCTATCGGGCGCAGAAACGGCTGGTCGTGTTTTGCGATGGATCGTGGCTAGGCCGCCAAACCCGCATTGTGGGCGCACCTAGGAGCAACATACGTATGCTTGCGGATATGGTTGGTGATATTATGGACTCAGGTCTTGATGCCAAGGAGAACCCTGCGATGGTATACAGCATCATCCCACGTCAGTCCAATGTGGTCGCAGGGTATCAGGAGGGAGTTGGCTCACAACGGAACTTCCTAGATTTCGCCCGGGATAGTACAACTGGCGAAAGACTCAGTGATGAGTGTGTAGCCGTGTACAGGTTCATCGTCGAACACTATACTGACGACCATGAAGTATGGCTGTTTGGTCACAGTCGAGGCGCCTACACTGCCCGCTCCGTTGCGGGTATGATCAACAACTGTGGCATCATGAGGAGACAGCAACACAGACTCAGCTCTGAAAAAGTGGATTGCCTCTGTTATGAGATTTATCGAACCTATCGCTCGCGCCTTCCAAACGACTCGCCAAGCAGTAGCGGAATGAGGAGATTCCGCCACAACGCCGACCAAGTGTGGCAGGTGAAACAGCCAATTCGGTTCATGGGCCTGATCGATTGCGTAGGTCCGCTTGGACTACCACGCATGCCTGGGGCGTTTGAGCCCACGTCCTTCGAATTCTTTGACCAGCACGTATCTTCCACGGTGCAGCATGTACATCACGCTGTCGCAGTGCACGAACGCCTTTCGGCAATGCCGTCATGCCTTGTACAGGTTCCAGACGAGAAGTTCGCGATAACTGCTGTGACTCAGATGTGGTTCCCTGGCACACACTATGACTTAGGACGCACGACGTTCAGGTTTGTCCCTCAACACCCATACAACTACATGGCTGAGATGCTGGGCCTAATACCAAATCTACTCTCGAGAACGATATGGCCGAACGAGGTGCTGGCAGACTGTGTACTGAAGTGGCTGCTGGAAGGTATGCAGGACGTTGATCCAGTGTCTGCCACCCAGATTATCCCGGACATTGACGACATAATTGCCACGCTCGACTCCCGCATGGCTAGGCCTGTTCCAAACTCGACAGGTAGCGGCGATGTCTATGGTGATCTTTTCAAAATGAAGTCTACAAGCCGTATTGCAAACGCTGTTCGCACAGTACCCATGCTGCTGACCCGACTGCTTTCCTCGTCTCTGGGAATAAACGATTTCTACTCTAGAAGCCTGGAGCGTATCATGCAAGTGCTTACATCAGTCACGGATAGACGGATACCCAGTATTGCGTCCGACACCCATCCGTATCAAAGCAAAGAGACGGAGAAATCCGGGGTAGTATTCACCATCAAAGAAAATGCTATGATGGAAAATTCAAATGAGTGGTATCGGCCAAGGTACCCAAGCAAAACCTTTGAGACTTTCGAGCTGTGGAACGAGGTGTTCAGCGGTAGTAGCAGATAGTCTGCATGAAATGTCAGTTTAGATTTTTTGACCTCATAACATGTAAAATAAATAAATACTTCATTGAGCCTTGGCACACATACAATATGGATGAGAAGGGCTTCATGGCTAGAGTCATTGGCAAGCAGAAACAAGTGTTCAGTAAGGCTTCCTGCAAGTACAAGCATGCTTGGTAGTCATCCCACAATGGTATTGTGAGTGGATTACATTGTTGGCATGTGTTTGTGGCAATGGTACATGTGAGAGGGGGCCAGCTTGTCATCCTGACACGGCTTGCAGCCAATAACAATCTACCCAGTCACACCTCATGGAACCTCATGGAATCCCATGGAACCTCATGGAACCTCATGGAATCCCATGGAACCTCATGGAATCCCATGGAACCTCATGGAACCTCATGGAACCTCATGGAACATCATGGAATCCCATTCAATACTTCAACCTTCACTCCTCAACTCACTCCTCACTGATCCTTTGTGGTATCCCCACACTTGATCCCTTCTTTATCACTTATCCTTTTACCCACTTGTGGTATCCCCACACTTGGTCTCTTCTACACCCTTATCTCCAACAAGCCTGAACCATCCTTCCACCAATCCTTCCATCCTAGAGAGCAGTTGGTATCCCCAGCTGTGTGAGAGGGGGCCAGGTGGGGATACCAACTGCTCTCTAGGATGGAAGGATTGGTGGAAGGATGGTTCAGGCTTTGTAACAGGGTCATGGTGCTGTAGGGAAGTAGGCTGTCACGTGTCGGAACGATGGCGCTAACCCATCGGGACGCTAGCGTGGTACGGACGAGAGCGCATAGATAATCGGGCACACAATGGCCAGGAAAACGGTAGCAATTAATCTTATGGGACCACCCCCCATTGTTACTAAGCTCGCTG